AATACGCCGCTTTACGGAGTAACTTAACCTAACCACTTGGCACCTATAGTGACTAGTACAGTTTTAGTACCCATAAGTAGCAGATTATATGATTCTTGTTTGATTATCTATTTATTTTCTTTGGATCTTTATCCATAGTAATAGTATAATTCCTTCATGTATAATATTGCATTTATATCCTTGTAGGTTTAATCACCGTCTGCAATGTAGTACAATATTATTATAATATCTTCATAATAAAGGTATATGATGTATATATTTAAGCTGCCGGCCATATGGCTACATAGACTAAGTATAAACTATATAATATACTTACCGTCATCTATTGCATTAGATCAGACATGTCAAACACGCGGCCTTCAGCTCAATTTTTATGTGGCCCGCGGCTACCAATATTAATGAACCAAAAAAAAAAAAAATTATATTAAAATATTAATTCCGTGTCACAACTATTTTTGATTTTTACAGAATGTTTTATTAGCTGGTATATATTATTATACTATCTTATCTTCTGAGTTCTGATAAGCTATAACCTTTTTTAATTTAGTTGTATCTGCTGTGTTCGGTAAACGTAAAAAATTAAATTGAAAAATTTGTATAAAATATTTATTTATTTTTTGTTAAATTTTTATGTGCGACCCACATAAGTAATCTATTCAATATATTTGGCCCACTTGATATTTTAAGTTTGACATGCCTGCATTAGATTGATAAAAAGTACCTATTAAACGATTAAGTAATTCCCCAAATTCAAATAAATAACCCACGCAATAATCAATAAAAAAATTTCAATAATAGCCAATGGATTATAATTTTTAACTTATAAGTAATTCCCAACTAATAGGTAGATCGTGTAAATGTAACACAAGATATATACCTATATAGTAGGTAATAAAAAACAAAATTTATATGAACCAATTTTACAGCAGGTACTTGAAATTTGAACCTACCTATTTATGATAAATAATAATAATATATATAAATTATACTACTTTTAAATGTACAGATGAATAATTAGTAATTAATATTAATTTTACCTATCTATATAAATATGCATGAATAATACTTTATACGAATTATACATGTATTTATATACCTACGTGTGTATTTTTTTTTTATTTTAACAAGGTATCTCTGTTTTATAGCATCTAAGGTTATTTAAGTTATTTTTAAGAATTAAAAATATAGAATTTACGATGAACCGCAAAACATCCATCTGTTCATGGCTTTAATGTTTCATTAACGAAGTGGCAGCAAATGATCATGAAATAATGATCACATAATATTCATCACGATGTTTTACCATAATTATACATAGTTCCACCTCATGGAACTTAAAAATTAGTACAGGTATATTTATGTACCTATATATCCTGTGTTATTGTTCTCATTTGAATCCTTAATTCACATTATAACTGTTTCTTCGACATAATTATAATAAATAATATATAATGTATAAGGTACTGTGTATTGCATCGAACTACCGAAGTAAAACAAAGAAAATAATATTAACGGTTATCTGCACTCTCAATGTTGTTTAATTTTTTATTTTTTATGACTTCCGATATGGCGATGTTTATAAGATGCTCAACAAGTATGAGTGCAAATATACGATAAAACAAAAACACATTGCTGATTTTGATAATATAAGTAGGTGTCCACGGATCATAACGATTCATGAATGATGAATTTTAACAGCATACCTGAAACTCAGAACTATTAGACTATCAATTACTATTTACTACCAAAGTATAACATATTAATTTAATAAATACGTACTTACCTAATGTAAAATACACTACACTAAGCAGTGGTGGATTTAAGAGTGGCCTGAGGCACCTCGGCCTTCCCCCCCCCCCTTAACCAAAGTCTCGTTTTATTAATGTAATAGTATATATAAATAAGTAATTGAATGTGTGACAAAATTATATTTCTATCCGCCATCCGGTAATCAGGTCTATTATTCTTACCATGTAACCATTTTTTTTTTCGCTGTCTATGCTCCCCTTCCCAAGGAAAATTTCTGGATCTGCCACTGACACTAATTTAGGTTAGTAATAGTAACTTGAAATGATTTTGATATTATTTTTCTTATTCCGAATTGAAATAAATCATTACAGATATCTGTAAAAAATAATTTTTTTGTTTTTTAAAGAACTAAAATATTTTTTATAGGTTCCTACCTAGAAAAATTTAAATTAAAAAATGAGAAACCAAAAGTGTAAAAACCAAACCTGTTGCTTAAACTATAAAGTTGTCTAAATTTTAAGTGATTTGAAATAACAGATTTTTTTGAAAAAGTAATGTAAGTAGAAAAAAATACAACTTATTTAAAAATTATCAACAAAAAACATTACTTTAGCATTTTTACCTAGATATAATAAAATTAAATAGTTATAGATAAAGATAACTTCAACAGTTTAATAATTTTACTTATAAATAAATTTAAAAATTTAATTACAAATTAGGTAATTCAAGTAAATACCTATTGTATAATAAAAAAACTAAAATAATTAAAAAATAAAATATGAAAGTCCCCATAGCATCATTGGAAGTTACCTCTAAATCGAAAAAAATAGTATTAACACATTCAATTAAATAAATAACTATCCTGAACTATAGACAAAAATATAAAAATAAACAAAATTTATAATTTGGCGCTTTTCCTAGTAATCCAAAACTAACAATTTTGATATTAGATTGTTAACTGACTTATTTTTTTTTTTTTTATGGTGTTATAAGAAAGATCACTAATTGATTGTTGAAAATATTTAGTAAGTATCATGACTTTTGCAAAGATTTTTTAATTAAGAAATGGTTTACTCAAGAGTTCTTAAATCATGAAAGTATGATAAATTTATTAAATTAAAAATTTTGATTACAAGTCATTTAATGTAATATGTTATTTATGTACACATTTTTGTAATAAACATAATAATTATTATTCTAGCTCATGATTATAACCAAATTGATTTCAAAATATACCGATAATATATTATATGGATCAAATTAAAATATTTAAGTTTAAAAAGTTATAACTTATAAGCTATCAAAAACTATAAAAAACTTACTAACACCATTTTATTATATCATTGTTTGGTCTAAAAAACTAAAAAATGTATTCAGTCATGTCAGTATTTAGGGTCCATATTTTTTATGGGTTCATAAAAATTTCTCAAACTCTTAAATAATATTATATTTTTCTTCATAATTAGTCTTGATAAGTAAAAATGTAACTAAATTATTATAAGTGTGATTAGATTTCCAGAAAAATGGCACTACAACAAAATAAAATGTTTAAAAAATAAATTAAATACATGTATTTAGGCCTACAGCCGTTGAATTTCATAAAAGGAACCACTGAATAAGTAAAAGTACTAGTAGTACTTAACCAAATACTATTACACATAGCGCTTGTCATTTATGAATACAGTTTTAATTATTAATTAACCAATTTTAAAAATCTCAATTGTAAACTATTTATTAACTCTTAACAATTTATAGAATTAACTGCTTACCAAACACGGAATTAAAAATATCCACACAAACATTAGTATCTACATTATTATTTCAATTAGGTTAAAATATATAGTACTTAATTATTAAAATAATATAAATAAAACCATTATTAATTAGTAATTACCCAACATTAGTAAATATAAATCCATAATTATGAATCTAAAAAAACTTAATTAGACAGTATGTATTGTTTCTCAATCTTTTATTTGTTTCTAATAAATATAAGTCTAAATGTTATGATTTATACTTTATTTATTTTGTACTTAAATTAAAATAAAGGTGTAACAATTAGTATTAGCAATACAGTTTTATAACATATATAAATAATTTGTAGATTGGAGCCTTTCAGCATTCAATAATAAAATATTAAAATAAATATTACAGTATTAGTTTTATACTTTTCAATAAAAAAATAAATCACAGTTATTTATAATATCATTAAAAAAAAAAAATAAACAAAATAAATTGATAAAAAATTTAAATACTTAGTTTAGTTTAAGTATTTAAAAAAAAAAAATGTTAACAAATATAAAATTTCAAGTTAAATAAATATTTTGATCTGTTAAATCATTTAGTGAAAACAATTCTTATAAATTTCTGAGTAACAAATAATCATTTTTGTAAAATTTAGTTAAATATAGTTAATACATTTGTATTTGTAAATAATTGAGATTTAAATATCTCTAATAAATACTTAAAAACACAAAGACTTTATTTGGTCCCATACATTTTTAAGTTTGTAACAAAAATAAGTTATTAGCTTTTAAAGCGACAAAAGAACACTTATTTTCAATAAAATATTTAATACTTAATCTATTTTTAAACTATCAGTTTAAAATTATAACCAATTAATATATGTAAAATGCTTTACTCATTTATCTATAAAATAGAACTATTGTAAAATAGTTTTTATAAAAATATTAAAAATTAACAGTTTTTTTTTTTTTCATGTGTATCAGTCAATATCTACAATACTCAAAAATTACTGTTTTTATCATTATTAAAGAAATTATAATAACAATTTTGATATGTTAACTATTCTAAAAATTATTCATCCCTTCTAAATGCGTTTAAAAAGTACTAACTAAAATGTTAATTTATAATATTTTGTTAGTAAATAAAATTATTTTAGTTAAACTTTATAACCAGAATTCGAAATTAAAACCTAAAATTATTAAAAATAAGCAGTTAACAATTTCATTATAAATATTAATTGTATAACATTTAAATAAACTATAAAAAAACAAACTTAAAAATTTTATTTTATTTTCTCCTAAACTCAAAAAATAAATAAATAGGGTTTTCCTAAAAATTAAATATTATTGTATGATATTAAACATGTCTATCAATGGAAAAAAACAACATACCTGATATCAAATACATAATTTTTTAAAACTACACTAACCTATAGCTATTATTTTCCAAATTTAAATTTAATAATTTAATTAAAACACAAACTGTAATATCAAAAATTAAGTAATTATATGTTATATTGTGTTGGAATATTTTTATTGACCATGACTAGTCATGACCAACAAAACAGATTAAAAATAAATTAAGACAAATTAAATATTACTGCTAAATTTACATAATAGGGTTCAAAGACTTCAAAGATAAAATTCTATCATAACACACATTAACCAAAAAAAAAAAAGGTTTTTATCAGTGTTCACTAGAGTTGTTTCTAAGTAGAAATAAATAAAACATAAAAAACTATTTAAATAAATTAAATGTTTTAAATTATAGTTACATAACATAAGTTTACCTAACACTTTGTGACTTTACTAGATTCAAAGTCAAACCAAATAAAATGTAAATGTCTAAAGTCCCAAACCATTTTTATAAAAAATTTAGATTCTTGAATTTTAATAATATTAACTGATTCATATTAAAATAATTACTCTGTATTAATACTCTTGTATATCTAAATCCTTTACGACTCAAGTAATCTACCATTGTTCTTCTTCAGTAGCAACTAAGTTGGATGTGACATCAACATTCTAGAAAAATAAAATAAAAATTAACACATTTAAGCACTATTCTATTTATTTTAGTATAGCCTATTAGAGAACAAAAAAAAAAAGTTTTAATATTTTTAGTTTACTAAAAATAATAATAAAACTATTAGCATTAAAAATTAATATTCAAGTTACCGTTCTTATATCGTTAAAATTATCAATAGCTGGAGAAGCTAGAATACGTTCTGAAGCATCATTTAAAAATGACGGAACTTCTTGATCTGCCTAAAATATATTATTTTAAATACATTATATTTTAAGTTTTTTAAAGTGTTTAATATTAAATTTAGTTTTTAAGAATTGGTATTAATAGAAACTTACTTGTTTGAGAATTCTAATTAATTCAGGTGCTAATGGACCATCAAATTCTGGGTCAAAAAACGAAATAGCTTTACCAGCATTTCCTAATCTACCAGTACGTCCAATTCGATGAACATATTCATCAATAGTTTTTGGTAGATCAAAGTTAACTACATAATTTACACCTTTTATATCTATACAAAAAAAAAATATATATATATATGTAAATATAAATAAAACTCTATAATATTAAGATAACAATTTAAAATAGATACCTAATCCACGAGCTGCAACAGCAGTGGCTACTAGAATTTTCATTTTATTTGTCTTAAAATCTCTTAATGCCTGTTCTCGTTCTGGTTGTTCACGTGCACCATGAATACTTGTAGTAGGATAATCTAATTCACTTAAATATGCAGCAGTATAATCAGCCACTTTTTTTCTTTCGACAAACACTATTGTACCTTGACAGTCTTCTAAAATAATAATAATAAATGTATTTATAATGGTTATAATGTTCACTAGTTTTAATATTTAAATAAACTAAAGAAATATAAATATTTGTAATAATACTTTAATATTTAACATTAATAAGCATACCCATTTCTTTAATTATATCAAGTAATGCATTTTTTTTTTTAAATTTTGTGACTTCTTTTACTGTTTGCACAACATCTTTACATGCTCCTCCTATTTCTCCAACAGCTACAAATATATAATCCGGTTTCAAGTAAGAAGTAGCCATATGTTGTATTTCACTTGCGAACGTAGCAGAAAACATAACTGTCTGTCTTGATTCCTAGAAAAATTATATTCATAAATACTTCTGTTATAGTCACACTGTTCATAGTTAATTATATATTTTATTCACTATTAGAACCCAGTATAAAAAAAGGACAGGGGAGCCATTTTTCCTTAGGCAAAAGTTTTTAAAAAACGCTTACTCCTTTATTGTGTCATATTTCATATGATTAAAAGTGATTAGAATAAACCAAAAATATTTATTTTGCACCAGAATAATATATTTTCTACAATGGTGTATGACAATCAATGATATACATTTATATTAAACTTTCAGTAATAAAGTTATAAAAACTATTATAGTCTTGAAGAAAAATATTAATGTACGTTTATGGTATAAAAATTATAATTTATATTTTAGTCAAGAAAAATCCTACTGCGAGCTCATAATATCAGACTTTATACACAATTTTCATTACTTAATATGTTGTAAATAACAAAGATAACTTACTATGGAAGTCATAGTTGAATGTGTTAATATTCTTTCTATATCAGGTTTAAATCCCATATCTAACATTCTATCTGCTTCATCCAAAACAAAAACTTTAACTGAAGAGAAAGTCACAATACCTTTTTCAACAAAATCATTCAAGCGTCCTGGAGTACTAGTTAATACATGAACTCCTCTCTGTATAAAAAAAAATGTTTTAATTAAAATATACATTCAAATGAGTGCATTTATTTTTTAATTATTAAATTATTTAAAATAACATTACCTGCAGGATCTTAGATTTTTGATATGAAACAGATGTACCTCCATACAGTAACCCATTTTTAATATCAGTTCCTTTACTAAATTTCCATACACATTCAGAAATTTGTGCAACTAATTCTCTTGTAGGTGCAATAATAACTACATGTGGTTCACAATGATTATCGTCATAAATCAATTGTGTTGGTTGCTTTAATAAATTATGCAAAATAGGCAAAACATATGCTGCCTAAAGAAATAAAAACATTATACATTTGTGAAGTATTTAAATATTAAATTAACTTACAGTTTTTCCAGAACCAGTCTGGGCACTGGCCATCAAATCTCTACCATCAATGATAATTGGTATTGCATAATTTTGTACTGGAGTTGGAGTAGAAAAATTACAATTAAATAAGTTGCCTAACAAAATACTGCACAACCCAGAACTAGGAAACGATACTATACTTTGAGGAGGGTTAGTTCCACTCACTTTTACTTCAATAGTTTTATATTTATCAAAATTAAGTCCTGCCTCAATTCCAGAAATAGATTCTTCATTTTCAATATCAGGAGGAATGTATGCTGTTTTTGGTGTAGTTGGTTTATCATTTTCATTTTTTTTATGACTTTCTTCACTATTTCCATACCAGCCATCTGATGATTGATCACGCTTTCCACCTCTACCTCGATTATGCCCTCGTCCTCGACCTCGATGACCAAGGGCAGCGTTATCACCATAATTATTAATACCAGAGTCATAGTCACCCTTAAATGATTCATTTTCTTCATCAAATCTTTTAAGGATACCTCGACCACGACCACGACCACGGCCACGGCCACGTCCATAATTATTTGAAGTGGAATTATTACCCCATGATTTTTCATAAGAATTATTACCATTGTTTGATTTATTTAACCGTCCAGATCCTTTCCGATATCTTGAATCATTTTTTTTACCTAACTGGTCTTTTGATGTTTCTTTATCAGCATTTTCAAATACAGAATTATCATTTAATGTGATATCATTTAGTGTTTCTACTACATTCTGCTCATGGTCATCATTATAGGAAATATTATTTACATCATTTTTCCATTCATCAACAGCAGGCTGGCTGATTTCATTGGTATCTGATGTACTGACAATATTTTCATCCATTGTGATATATCTGTAGGCATATAAAACATATTTTTTTTTTAAATATATAATCCTAAAACAAAACATTAATAATATAATGTTAAAATATTTTAATATATTTAAATAAAACGTCGAAAACATTATTGAACTTTGGTACATATATGTGGATTTGGTATTAATTTGTTTTATATTTATAACAAGAAAAATTAATAAAAATAATAGATAATACTGATAATAGTATAAATTCTGAAATAAAATAATCTATATATTTTTTTTTTTTTTACAAACAGGTTTATTTTTAACCTGAATATTAAAGTAATAAAATATATTCTAATTTTCTAAAAAAAAAATAGATTTTATTAAATACATATTTAAAATATTAACCACCAATAAATAAAAAAATAATGTTTATAGAAATTATTAGTTTAACTGTTAGCTGAATATGGAGTATTGATGTGATAGTATTAAGATATTTAAATTACTTAGTAAAACAAATTTTGTACCTAATTAAGAGAAATTAATTTTTTAATTTTACTAATACAATATAAATAACCAAAATATAATTATATTTTCAATACCAGTCTCTGGAGTAATTTATTAATAAAAACTTAAATCTCTCTATATATTCAAGATCCAACATAAGATTTTAAAAACAAAAACTTTTATTATATATTATTTCTGTGTAGACATGGCATAAAACAACAAATAAATCTATGTTAAACCAGAATATAATTCTAATTTTATTGTATAATTAACTAAAATAATTACCTTTAATGTTATAACGGGCGGAATTGCAGAAACAATGCTGATTCACAGTGTACTTTATAACAATTTAATAAGTTCTCTTCTAAATTTAAAAACAAAGTAAAAAATAAACTCCATAAGAATACCCAATATTATTGTGATTTAGTAAGATTTGTAAGACACCACCCGGCATCCAGACGACAGATAGTACTCACCAAGTTATATAAGAACAATAAATTATTAAAGTACGAAACGGCGGAATCACACTGTCCCGAACCCGTCAAATAAGTCCATTGCCGATGTCGTAATCAGCATTCCTCATTAACTTCTACCATGGCACAAATGCACAATGCTACAAGTCATAATCTCGCAAGCTAAAAAAATAAAAAACAAAATATCTACTAACAATAACAAATATCTACACCTAGTCCAATCACAGACGTACCGTCGTAACCACAGGAATGCAGTATGCACCGCCGATTAGCGCATGCGTGGCTATTCTCGTACTCTTATCAATTTGGTAAAGGGTCAGACTCAAGATGTAATATTTTTTATTTTTATTTTTTATTACGAGGGACACGAGTGCACGACTTAATAGTTTATACTTTATAATCTATCTCAGTCCGCGCCCCATGACTTTTGAACGCCATTGACCATTGCTGAGCAATGATCATAATAATCATTAATCTATGACCTTCTGCTATAATTATTAAAAACGCAGAATAGATAAAAATTTAATTGAATAAAATGTAGGCTAATAAAAAAATTGTGAACAATTTGTTCATAAACACAGTTTACAGAAAAAAAGTTTTTGGTACGTATTTGAGAATATTTCAGAGGTCAGACTATAAATATTTAGTTTCCTTAACACATTATTATCTCGAAATGTTTTATAAATTGTCAGAAAAAAATAGTTGTATATTTTTATTTTTATTACATATTATTTCACTATACCTAGTAATTAGTACACGTGTTTATGTTACTAATCATAAATATCACATTACAATCATTGCCGACTAGACGATTTTTAGTTTTAGACAATTTTATTGTACATCATTATGATTTACTCGGTTAATGAAAGACTATAAAAATATATAAAAAATTTCTATCGTTGTTATAATTTAAATTTTGAGACCTACCTTTACAACATTTTTTAAATATTGTTATTTTTTTATTATAAATTGACACATTAATGTGTATATATACAACTTGATTCTATTTACACAGCTTTTAATTTACAATTAGAATGTACGTTAATGTATTAAAAAAATAAATTAGGGCCACTGTCCAAGTATTAAGGCATTAATTGTAACAGACTCGACAGGAAATTCAAATTTGTGCACCCCTATGAGTAGAGCCCCAGCTTGACCGGTTCGCCCCGCGTGCACATCTATGGTTGGATCTTATTTTGAAGAATTCAAATAGGTATGTTTTTACACTATTTATATTTCCATTAGAAATTAAATTATTTGGTTATTTGTTTCTCCTGAACAATTTCATAAAGTGAAGATTCCGGGTTCTTGCACCAAACCCTTCAAAGTTCAAATACGAGTTGAGAAGTGGATGGGTTCGACGAATGTGTGCTCCTGTATAATTCAAAAAGTTTGTGACACCATTACTTGTGTACTTACTACTTATATACTTAACTAATTAACACGAATACATTATGAATATAGCAAATATAATAACAACTGCAAGTACAATTGTACAACATCGATTAAAAGTATGTAAAATACTGGCAATATTGCTATGTAAATTATGTAATATGTTAAAAACTAAATTTTTAATTGATTCATCGATTAGAGAATTTTTAGACTTTCCAAATAATAAGTTAAATTGTACGCTAACTTCTGAAACTTTATAATAAAATGAAATACCTACGGGACGTAAAAATATGTGATTTTTAAATCGTATATAAACATTTCAAATTTATTTTAAGAATCAAGTAAAGGTACAATGTGACCATTCAGACATATCCAGTATCCAGTATCCACTGAAAGCTGTATGGGCGTGTGGCGTGTGCGTGTGCACTTTCAGATGGATTTCATGGCGCCATCTCGTAGGAAGTTAAACTACGATGACTTGCGCCCACGGTTTAAGATCTTAAACCGTGCTTACGCCTGATATACCTTACAATGCAACCATGCATACTAGATAAGTTTCTTATCACTATTTAGAGTACAGTACACATAAAAGTTACAAATAAGCTTGGGTAGTGGGCACCCAATATCACTATCACAGTCGATCATACCAGTATTAGGTATACTTATATTTACATTTATTTCAGAAACAGTCCATGTACATTGTTTAAAATACAAAATAGTAAATATTAAGTAAATTGTACGTAACACTCTTACATTTCGTGGTGTCTCCTTTGAATCGTCGAGACACCAAAAGATGGCCGTGGCTGGAGAACCTTTGAACTTAGCTAAAGGCGAGTTTTATTTATCATTTTTAATTTTATAACATGCGATTGCATTTGTACTGTATTGTGACTTATTTTGATATTTTGTAATTTTCACAGATGTCAAACGAGCCATTGAACTGTTGGAAAAGCTCCAAAAAAATAATAAGTCTACAATTTAATTTGTTATACTAAATCAAAATTAAATTATTTGTACATTTTTGTCTAGCTGGAGAAGTACCGGTAACCAAATTAGCTGCATTGCAAAAAGTATTGCAAAGTGACTTTTTATCATCTGTGCGGGAAGTGTATGAACATGTTTATGAAACTGTTGATATACAAGGATCTCAGGTGCTTAAAAATTTATGCATGATTTTTTTTCATACTGACCTATATTTTAATAATTTTTATTTTTTAAAAGGATGTCCGTGCATCAGCTACAGCTAAAGCAACCGTTGCTGCGTTTGCTGCTAGTGAAGGTCATGCTCATCCAAGAGTGGTGGAATTGCCCAAAACAGAAGAAGGACTTGGATTTAATGTGATGGGTGGACGAGAACAAAATTCTCCCATCTATATATCACGCATAATACCTAGTGGTGTAGCTGACAGACATGGTGGTTTAAAGCGAGGAGATCAACTTCTGTCAGTTAACGGAGTGGTTCGTTGTTTTTCTTAATTTTATTTGTTATATTGTATTTATACTAAACCTTAGAAAATATTTTTAAAGTGCGTAGAAGGTGAAAATCATGAAAAAGCTGTTGAGTTACTAAAACAAGCCCAAGGATCTGTCAAGTTAGTTGTCAGATACACACCAAAAGTCTTGGAAGAAATGGAAATGAGATTTGATAAGCAACGTGCTGCCCGTAGGAAGCAAATAAACCAATAATTACATACTGTTGCCTGTTACATGAACATTAGTCTACTTAACTATGAATAGTATTTGATCAACTTAAATGGTATACTTATTTAGTTGAAGGGTTGTTAAAATATTTTCGTAATTGTTGTCACTAAGTCTTCTCCTTGTTCATATTTTGATGTCTTCTAAGAAAAGAAAAAATTATTTTGTGTTCCCAAAATTATTTACATTTATTAATATTAGTAACAACAAATTGACTTACTTAAATAGTGTGTTTAGGTTAATCAATAGAAATAACCTTATACTGATCAGTAATTGTAGATTTATACTCACTTTTAAAATAATTTATTTTGGGTTTGATACCTCATATAATAAAATAGATACAATTCTTTAATTTGGTTTATTTCTTTTATCCAAATAAGAACTTTTAATGTAGCTTACTTAAATATTGGATTCATTTCATTAATAACTTGTAATTTTAAATCACATTTTTACAATTTATTTGTATAATATACATCATGTTAAAATATTCAAAGTTTTTATTTAGTTAAATGTTAATTGTTTAGTATTTTATATAAAAATTCAATATTATGTTTATTAAACTAATTCTGTTGTCCCCTGCAATAAAAACAACTTTCTTTTAAATAACCGTTAAAAGTATTATAGAATATGGATTATACACATAAAAATGTTCATTGTGTTCTTGGTGTTTCCAAATTTACTTATGTATTATCAATGATAGTAGGATGAATTCAGTGATACACCTTCCAACAAAGTTTATATGACATTCAAATTTTATTTATGTTTTATTATACTTTGTTATTACTTATTTTATATCATAGATATTGTTTGTACTAAGCAAATACATTTTGAGTTTTTTGAGTGTTTATAATATTATAGTTATACATTAATACATAGTTTTATTATTTAATTAGCATTTTTAAGAATTTTTTTTTATAGCTATAAGCCTATTACTAACTCGTCAAGGTTATTAAAAATTATTTATTATTTTATAGTTTAAGATTACCCCAGTGTTTTCAGTATTATAATTTGTAATAATATAAAGTATTGTACACACTTTATTTTGTAAAGTTATTAGGTACATTGAAAATCTGCAATTATCATGTATTACTTTATTATACTAAATATCATTATAGTTTGTTATTATTCATTATCTGCTTAAAAATTGTATTTAAATAAATATGCTATATTTAATTATAAGTTTTAGTCTCAATATTGAGTTTATTTATTAATTCATCCAATAGTTATTAAAATCATGTATCATCACATCACTTGTCAGTGAAAATTAAAATATCAAATATAAATGTAGCTTTCAATTTTTTATTATAACTTAGTAAGTAGGTACTTTAATAATTATATTCAGATGCGAATGCAGGTGTTTAACTCCCGCTCCTCCCATGAAGTTTTTTCCTGCGTTTGCGCCTAATTATATTACAATATCAGCATGTCAGTGTGCTGTAAATAACATTTCAAGTGTACTTTATTGTTGAATAATAGGCAAGTATGACGGATATGTTAAATTTGAATTCAATAATAAATTAATGCATACGAAAAATGATTGAAGATTGAAGATTGTGGAATCTGGATTAGATTAACACCGAGAGTTGCATGAAAAATGTATTAATTTAATTAATTGTAGGCTACTAAATCAAATTTTCATTAATCAAAATACCTTACAAGCATTGGTTTTATAATACACATTACACATAGTTTATTATTATTACTAAATCAATGCTTACAAGATTATATGTAGGTATACAGTGATGTATCCAGGGGGTGATTAGGGGTTGTGACCCGCATTGCACGATACAGGTAATATAATAACACCGTTTGTTATATCAATATGTTACATTTCCCAATTTCAGACTTAATGCATTTTCGAATTATTTCGATAGCATTTTTCATAATATTCTCCGTGTTGAAATGTCAATGCAGCAGTCAAGTGAATCTGTAATTCTGTATTCTGTGATTATACCGATCGCGTAACGACTGTTGTAGTGTTATGAATTATATTAATATTTTATTATTCATTTAATACCTTTAGTAAAATGACCATAGAATTAAAAGATTTAAAGACAAACATTTTGAGTAGACGAACTTGTCAAAACATTAAAACAAAAAATGAATATACATTTATCGTTTTAAAAAAAAAGAAGATAAATATTTACATACAACATAGGTACTTAAACTTCTATAGTACTAATTGGGTTATAAATTTGAATCAAATCGTGTAGTTTAAATTGTTAATATGCTTTATGTATTGGTACACAAATCTAAGTAAACAGAGGCTATAATTAATATGTCGAGCATACAGTATCTTTCTGAACAGTATTTCTCGTCAGAAACACGAAAATTTACGCGACGGTGAACTTGTTGAATACAAATGCGCGTAATGCTCTACAGTCTACACTTGCACGACATCTCGTGAAGGATTAATGGCATTAAATATTAATGAAAATTAATAATAATGCACCTTATGCACCTGTCTCGAGAACCGTGGACGATGTTTCCAGGATCACATCACGGCATAGACTTTATCTTATACCTAATGGCTAATGTAAGCTCTATGCCAGAAGTGGTGAACCTTTTTGGGTTAAGTGTCAAATTTTTCAAATTAAGGTTTTGAAATTCTTTCACGTGCCCGAAGTAAATTATATTTTCTAAGGATAAATTAAAGTTACAAAATAAATATAGTAATAATAAAGTAATGTAATACATTTTATTATAAAGAAATATTATAATTTTTAAATATAATTTGTTTCTTTGAATTTCTAATAACTAACATTTAATAAATAGCATCATTTTTCACGTGCCATTGAAATTTGACCAACGTGCCACCTCTGGCACGCGTGCCGTAGGTTCGCCACCCCTGCTTTATGCAACATGCATGAATATTGAATGCATCACGGAGACAATGGGCCATGGGCGTGATTAGTGATTACCGTGCGACGGGTGATACGGCGCACAACGCCATCTCTGGAGCGTTGTCTGCGTTTCGCTTTTGCGATTAAGAGGACGTCGTACCCGCATATGTTGTCTCCGTCTTACAAATGAGTAACATGGCAAATAGAACTCTTAGAAGATCACGTTTAGCTCCTTCAGCTTGAAAATTAGAATGAATTGACCTCTTTTGAAATTTAAAAGTGAGATTATTATCTAGGGCATCTCATAGGCTTTTTATTATATTTTAATTTTAAAGCAAGTTATGAGTATTTTAAAATTGTAAATTGCTTGCACGTCTTAAAACACACATAACTCGCTTTAAAATTAAAATATAATAAAAAGCCTATGAGATGCCCTAGATAATAATCTCACTTTTAAATTTCAAAAGAGGCCAATTCATTCTAATTTTCAAGCTGAAGGAGCTAAACGTGATCTTCTGAGAGTACTATTTGCCATGTTACGCATTTGTAAGACGGAGACAACATATGCGGGTACGACGTCCTCTTAAGCTCTTCAATTATTTACTGTCACGAATTCAGAATGTGTAGTTTATTGTCTAAATCCATAGCAAAAACCAAATACTGCAAACATGAACTAAGATCTATAGGCCTGGATTGGGCCACTGTGCTACTGTTCTACAGCAGAGTGGACCGCATGCCTCAATTCTGTAATAAAATATTTGAGTTTAATTCGTGACTGCAAGTGCAACGTGCAACGCTCCAGTGCCCCATCTAAATACGTAAAATGCACAATAATGTAAACGTAAATTTCTATGGACTACGACGATTGACGTGATCACGGGGTTCAAAATATTTTAGTGAATTTAATTTAATTTTTTTTATGCATAATGTATTGTGTATTGTGCACCATATTAGGGGCTATATAGCAGTGCTGATACTGTATTCAGTGTATTCTACGACGCGTACCGGTTCACTATCAATCAACCATAATATAAATTAATAGTTTATCACATAGACATATAATTCTATTATATGTCTATGGTTTATCATCTATAGGAATACCACGTGATATTGTGTTGTCACTAATCGACTAGATAACCGCGTGCGGCGATGATAACGGCTTAACGACGTCGATTACAATTCGTATTTGTTAGATCATAGTAAATAATAATATGCAATCACTACAATCATATAAGTACGTACATAAATAAATACATTACACTATGTACCAGTGCCAGTCTCTTATTAGTCACTTCAAATCGTGTTACCGGAGCGTTCGGCAATGGAGTTAATGGTCGGTGTTAACTCAAATCGTTTAAAGTCTTCCGGCGTTCGTAGTTAGCCAAAAATATGCTGTCTAGATGTAACTTTTACGCAATCGCGATGACCAACGCGAGATTGAACGTGTTGGGCCAGCGCCGGTTGTTCGTACCTTGTACGGGTTGTTTGTCCAAGCGTTCAACCGCCACGTCCGGACAGAGGAAACAACAACCGCGTAGCAGCCTCGGTTGTTTGACCACCGCACACCACGATCTTGGATCGTATATGTTATACACTTTCGGTAGACGACAAACCATGTCAACGACGACTAATCCACCGCCGTCACCCGACGAAAAACCGCAAAATATCTTCCAGAGGTTCAAGAACATGGCCAAAAAATACTGGTACATTGTACTGCCTGTTCATTTAGTCACTTCGACCATATGGTTTGGTTCGTTTTACTTCGTTGCCAGTATATTCGATGTGCCCTCCCTGTTGGAACACTTGGGTATTCCCGATAGTATGATTGACAAAGTAAGGAACGGCAACTCATGGACCAGTTACTTGGTTATTGCCTATGGTCTATATAAAATATTTACACCTCTCAGATATATGGTAACATTAGGGGGAACTGGTATAACCTTACGTTATTTGAAAAGGTTAGGATATGTCATTGATGGAAAGTCATGTACAAAAAAGCCATAAAAAATTAATAAAGTTGCACATTACTTTATAGTTTATTTATAAGATTGTTTGAATATGTTAATGAATAGATGATAAAAGTCTGTTGTGATTTTATAATTTTGTGTAATATTTTTAATCAATATAATAATTAAATATTGTAAAAATGTTCACAATATATTTTATTAGTTTTCAATAAAAATGGTTTCTTTTTTTTTTTATCAAATCATTATAACACATTATTTAATCCTTGAAACACATTAAATTGAAATGCTTGACAAACTATTTAAAAAACAGTAAGATACAAGACTAAAAAGTTATTTGTGTGTACTTGTTACTGACAAAATAACATTTTTTTTTTTTTAAGAAATATTGCCTATGAATATCCTTGCCTATCCCCTAATAAGCCTCTGAACCTATGTCCTAGATGTTAGATTAATCTCTAATCAGCTATAAAACTATTTTGTTAATTTAAAGATCACTCAATTTATCTGGTGACAAGCATAAATTATTTTAACAATATAAGATTTTATAGCTATTATATTTAAAATGAAAAATAGGTATAATAAAAATTTAAGAAATATTCATGATGTTGAATATGATTTTATATTGAAAGCCTTTAAATTGAATTATTATTGACTCTAATTTAAACTGCAATAGCGTGAGACGTGAAAATACTATTTAATAGTGACTTACTTATAAATTCTAATAAGAATGGTAAAATGTAATAAATAATGTAAGTAATATAATAGACCTAATACAAATAAAATAAAATATGTATCTACTAGTCACATAATTAATTATATTTTTATTAGTCTCACTCAAATTACGTGTGAATATATTATCTTTTATTTAAGTTCAGTCAAGGAAATCACATGTATACTCATTAAAAATTCCTAGATGTTAATGATAGGTTATTAATTATTACCAACAAGTCATAATTTAATAATTTGATTTAATTTTAATTCAAAGAAACCTAGATTCGCCTTGAGAAAATCTATTATTCAGTTGACTGGCTTTTTTCAATATTGATTGTTTCTGAGCATTATCAAATTTGTTACATTGCAGATCAATTTCCCTACTAAAAGGTCTTCTTTCTACAGGTTCTTCTTTAAGTTTTTCCTAAAAAAAAAAAAAATTAACAAATCATTACTTATTAAAATCTTAATCATGATTTGATTTAAGTTTCTTGACAATTTGAATTAAATTTTTTAAATTACAGAACATTCTGGTCACATTTTTAGCTAATTAACTGAAGAGTTAGTTTGAATAATTGGCCAGCAAGTATAAAGTCATTGTGATAATTGAAACTAGAATTATTAAAATATAATTTATTGGTTAGGTAAGTATATTAAATTTACCTTTTTTTGTTTTTTTAATTTTTCTTGGTGCATTTCTAATAATGAATAAGGTTTTCGTTTTACTGAAGTTTCTGCCAATTTTTCCATTTGCTCATCACGTTTTTGAATTGCGATTAGTTTCAATGCCTCCATATCAGTTTCACCAGTAGTTTTTGGTTCTTGGACTTTACGTTCTTTGTCCAACGGTGTATCAGTCCATTCTGATCGGTTGCTCATGTCGGGAGCTTCTCGTTTTCTGAATTGTCTTGCCCCTAAACCTAAATTGGCAGCTTTTTCTGGTGGTAATTCCAACATCCATTTTTCTCGAACTGTTTCTTGTTTGACATCATCATACACCTATTAAAATTAATGGCATTAGTTTATTTTAAATGGTCAAAACAGGGTGTGCTTACAATTATTATTATGTTTATGTAAGTAAATAAACTGTACAAACTTCTCCAGCAAATTTTCGCTTCATATACTCTGCTCGCAATTCTAATTGTTTTTGTATGAACAGTTGTTCAGAATCGGAAGCTATCAGCTCGGCCGGCAATGGACCAAAACTCGAAATGTCGTCATCGATCTGCTGAGCAACTACACTTTCTTCTATTTTGAAATCTGAAGGCAACGACGGTCCGGGAGCGCGTTTCTGCGGTACTAGGTGAGGTGGTAGACTGGGTCCATACGAGTGGTTGGGTTCACTGGTTGCCGAACCGGGTGCAACGGTCTCGTCGTTTTTGCCACCGACGGTGCTCGACAGATTGGGTGGCAAAACTGGTCCAATGGATTTGACTGCTGCAGTGTCTCTCGTCTCGTTCGGGGTTGACGTAGTCTTCGGACATATGTTGCTCTTGAGCGGAACAATCGGAACATGATATTCGTGATTATCTTTCGATTTGTGTTTGTTCTTTGAATGTTTGTGTTTCTTGTGCTTTTTGTGTTCTTTTCCCATAGTCGCAGTTGTCGGTGCATGCGAACGATTACTGTAACGTTTACTTAGTACTAGATTCTTGTGATCCGACAATCGAAGTCAGAACGTAAAATTAAGAAATTACTCTAATATTATTAAACGAAATCAGCAAATTTAAAATTTTCGAAAAACCAAATGTAAACAATGAATGTCGATAACGACGATAACCTACTAATGTCTGATAAATGATAACAAAAATGTTAATAAACGATGTAAACAATCTTTATGGTTTCCCGCGTCATTGAACATTTAATCATCAAAAATTCGCGCATTTAATTAACTGAATACAAATTTATATTGATTTATTGTATTATTGCAGTCCATGCGCATGAGCGCCCGCAGGAAAATTATCAGGGAGGGGCAAATTAAATCAAACACCAAAAAGTACATTAAAAAAAGTTAATTCCTTGCAAACTACAAAATTTTTTAGAACTATATGATATCAAACGCTAGAAAGTATTTAAAAAAATATATATTTCTTGCAAACTACAAAATGTGTCAGAATTATATGGTATTTAGTCGATACCAAATAACTTTCAACTACACACAATTCCGATGACTCTGTATTGACTGTATTATTTATTTCAATAGTTAAAGTAAGAGTCAGTAAAGACTTCATTAAGAGAATCAAAAAGCTTGGATTATAAAAAAGAAATTCTAATGTCCATAATCACAATAAAAGTATAACAATAAAATTAAATATCAAATATATTATAAATACAATACGTACGTAGTTTAGCGTAGTCCGTGTTCTACCGTTGACGGTGCGTTGACGAATAATTTAAATTCACAATATTATTACAATAGTTTCCAACATAATAAAATAAATAACAATATTGTACATTCGGTTTATTTTTAGACGTCGTGTGCGTAAGTGTATCGGTCATCTTATCTACGTGTTATTTTGTTTTTGTATTAATTAATGTATTGTTATTACGACGAACAAACGTTTAATTAAATAATTTTATCTTTCATTTTTACCAATCATTTTATATTGGCTACCCCCACATACTTAAGTAAAAGTATCTTAAGTATCAATGAAATGTTTATTTAAATCAAAATAAAAGCTATAATATTCAACATTACATTTGAATTCCCGGGGGGTGGCAAATGCCCCGTCTTGCCCCTCCCTCCGGGTGCCCATGTCCATGCGTTATAAATGTAACTTTCATTTACATAACTTAAATATTTACAATAATTAATTACACACATTTGTGCCTAGTTGAAAATAAAACTGTCATATTTTATTCTTATTATTCTGATGTCCTGTTCAAATACGGAATCGCTACAAATTACTATTAGTTTTAAATGTCTGAAATGGTAACTTAAACCTTATACTTTTCTAAAATATTAAATTAATAGTTTTTTTAATAAATTTGAAAATTTTTTTGGTATTTGAAATCCTTAATCATGTATAAATTCCATAGCAGTTGAAAATGCTTAATGTTAATTCGACATTCTATAATTCACTGCTTGTATTCTAAAAGTCCCTTGTACTCCACATTATAATGATCCTATATCTAACATCTGTAGTTTCAAAGTTTTCTAACCTTACAAGTATATAATTTCTTTCTAAACTTTTATTCAACTCGACTGATTGTTCCCCACTTTCACAAATACATTTTTAAGACCCATCTCACTCCACTAGATACACTTCTCTCTTTTTATTATCAGTTAAGTACTCTTGAATGAAGACCTTAAATAATATTAGATTCAATTGAGTCTTCAATTATTATTTATAATACATTGATAATATTGTTAATGAAATTAAAAATATGTTTTTGAGTCTTGGACTGTATTGTTATAAAAATTAAGTAATAAATAAGTTTAAACGACAGAATATTATTCTGCGATATTTATAGATTATTCTAAATATTAGGCATATGCATATTTATTATTTACCTAGTTTTAAATAAAATAGAGTTCTTTGGTGGTGATTACTGGTTCATACTAAAAAGCAATTATGTGCCAAAGAATAACAAATTATTAATACTTATGCCATGACAATATTATACTGTACGTATATAGTCACATGAAAACTTTTTCTACAAATATTATCTTAGCTTGAGTATAAAATAAGAAAAATTAATATGATTTTATTTGAAAAATGATGTGTTTATACTTCTTAATACAGTTAACATTTTGATTAACCTCAATTTTTGATTAATCATATTGAAATTGGAGGTATCTAATTAATATATAATAATAATTTTTATATCAACAAATAATTTTAAACAATATATATATATGTAAATTACAAGATAATTAAAATTAATTATGTTTTTCAAAAATTCAATTAACAAAAATATAAATATCTATTTAAACTATTAGAAATGTTAACACTTATTCATCTCTGGTCAAATGATCAGGACACAATGATTCGTTATTGGGACTTTGTACTTCTTCACCGGAAGAGCTCTGATTAATTTCCCAGTTATCTATAATAATAAAAATTACAATTTTAGTATGCAAAAACTGAGAATAAAATTTGATTTGATTTAAGTAACTTTAATATTTGATTGGGATATTACTAAAAATATCTTATCATATTTACATTAAAATGATTTAGGAATAATAACATCAGTGGCGTAAACTGGGTGATGCAAATGCAGCACTTGCACCACCACGGCACCACATCTTAAATGTGGTAGTTCAAAGGTATGTTTTTGCACCACCAGAAAATCATTGAAATATATAATATATAAACAGGAACATTGTTTCAACTTAAAATAAATAAAAAGAAATTGTTGATTGTTTTTTTTATTAATATTATAATAATAAAGGTTTTACTGCTAAAATAATTCAAAATGTATTTATTATTTAAAGAAATATATAGTTTATTGGGAAGGATTTTGCTTAGGAACTTAGATTATTGATGTGTTGGAAATTATAGGTTGAGAATATGCCTCCGCACCACCAGAAATTGAACCCAATTTACGCCACTGAATAACATGAAAGTAAAAAGGCTATAAATATGTAAATAGGTACATATAAGATTAAAAGATATTTGAAATGTAATTGGTATGTCAGCAGTGATGATTATTAAAACACTTTGTTGAACATAGCTTGTAGAAATTTAAGCAATGTAATTATTGAATATAGAAAAATCAATTACCTATATATGCGTTGTCCACAAAAACTGAATTGATTAAATCTTCAAGATCATCCGATATATCTGACATATCCAAAAACCTTATGATCAAATAAAAATATTAATGTTTGACATAATTATGGTTTGATTGTAAATATAGTTTACCTATTTGATAAATTTGTATTTAATGTTTCTTGAGTTACAGCCTGTTCATTTGTCTGTAGACATAATAATAGTATTCAAATAAAAATCAATAATTATTTTTAAATTATTTACGTTTTGTATGGGGTTATGTAGTCCACGAACTGTCGTAGTTTGGTGAGACAAATCATCAAGTCTACTTTCCGACATTCTTAGATTTATTGGATCTGACGAACTTGCCAACTCACTAGAAGATTCTGAAAGTTAAAATACTAAATTATTGTCGTGAAGAATACATTTTAATGTTAATGAATGTTTGAAAAAGAGGGTTAATTTAGTAACTATAGTGCTAGATTTTATTTAGTCTGACATTGATAATAAGATCTATTAAATACATTTACATCTTACATTTTTTAATAGTATCAAAGATACAGTAAATACACAATAGTATATATTGTATCTTAACATTTTCTTTGATATACTAGTATCTTTTTAATTATTTAAAAATGCATATTGTAACTTATGCTTGTTGTGTAGGTAACAAACTAATTCTACACAAGTTAAACTTCTTTGATATAACTAAATCTATTTTGAAACGTTACCTACATGAATTCTTATTGCATGTCAAATATTGATAATACATTTAATATCTATTCAAAAATATTGAAGTAAATTACATCTTGTATTAAGATAGGTACTTTCTTTAAAATAGATGTTTTTCCTGTTTATAATAGTATTAAAAACAGTTTGAACATCTGATTAAATGATCTTTGAAAAAAATTATCAAAACACCAGACTAAATAAACACGATACTGCAGCTATGCCATTAAGCTAAATGTTAAACATAAAAATTGGATTAAAAAGTTATAAATATTCAACAAATATTAATTTTAATTTAATTAGTGTCAATTACATTTTAAAATATCTTATTTTTTTAAGTTAATGGTAAGTGATTATTCAAATTAATAATTAATAGTTCTTAAGTGAAACAATGTTTTTAAACCATGGGGACCTTCAGTATTAAAATATTAATAATAACTTTAAATTAGCCTACCTGGTTGAGAATTACGCATAGCATTTTCCAATTTTTTCAAGCGAAATCTAATGGTTAAAATAATAAATAATTTAAGCATTAATTAGAAAAATTATGTATTATTGAATACTGGGTTAGTAAACGATCAATTATTTATAAAACTTTAAAATTACTTTGCTTCAGTTATTTCATATTGAATTTTATTAACCATTTGTGAATTTTCAGAAGTTCCTGATAAAAAATGAAAATTATAGCATCAAAAATGTACATTGATACAAAAAAAAAAAACTGTTGAAGGTGTAAAATGTTGTAAATCAATTAGTACCCACTTAATTTGTTAGGTGAAGTCAATTGATTTTCTCCCATGTTTCTTAAACAATTTTCCAAACGAAAATCTGAAATATAATACTTGTTGCAATATTGTAATAGATAAACAAAAGTTAAATTGAGGAGAAATTAAAATTAACAAACCTGATGGACTTGAATGTTCAATATGGTCTAGAACAATGCTGTTGACATTATTCATATGAATAGGACTAGGTCTATCTGGGTTCTAAAAACAAAACAAAAACAATTAAAATAATAAGATTAATAGGTTTTACAAGTTAGATAATATATAAACAACAAATAATTTACATCTGATTCTTCAAAAAGGCGACTAAGTCTTTCAAACATGGATTGTGCAGTTTCACCTTGAAAACGATTTTGGAATTCATTATCATATAAAGTTTGTATTGATAATGGAGGATGAACCATATTAGAAGCAGTTTCGCACGATGCTCCTTGAACTTCTTGATCTTTGATTGGACTCTTAAGATGTCTACATCAATTATTTAATTGTTAGTCAATAGTTATTGCATGCGCTTAAATTATTTAATTTATAATTTTATCTAGGAATAGGAAAATAAAATATATTTTAATAGTTTAATTTAGAGTAACCTAATAACTGAAAGAGGTGCTCTATTTTCCTTTTCATTAGATTTTCAATAAATATTTTTATTTTCTTAATAAAACTCATCATATAAAATGTCTATGTAGGTTCCTGGTATTCTTAGTTTCTTACCCAGTTGTTTCTGCACACTCAAATTCATCTAACAATGATTGTATTTTAATTTTAAGCTTCTTCTTTGGACTTGGAATTTCTCTACTAATAGGTTTAACTTTAGCAGGGATTTTCTATAAGAACATTAAATGTTTATAAATAACTAAATATTTCAATCAATTAATAATTTATTTAAATGCTATAACATTTGTTATAAAAGCAGTCAAAAATACCTGTTTTAATTCTTCAAATTGCTGTAAGAGTACAGATCTCTCAAGTTCTAATTTAGATAAATACCACTGTTGTTCTCTACATTTTTGATAGTAAGTAGGTGGTCGAACACTAAATCTGTTTAAAAAATAAAGATAATAATGGTCATAGTAACAAAAATTTAAAATTAAATCATTAAAATAACTGACTTTAAAATTAATGTATCTTGTTGTAAAAATCCTTCATTAATTAATAAATCAAGTCTAAAAAATCTATTATATCCCCAACATTCTCCAATTTCAAAATCTGATGTGAATTCTCTGAGTACATTTTTAGATTTATCGTTGATTTGTTCATTTAATTGATTAACCATTTCAATGCGATAATCATATCTAAAACAAATTAATATTTATAACAAAAATAGTTTACTTCTGATGAAAAATGGCATAACAGATAGAACAAATAGTTAATGTTCTAAGAGATTTTACAGTAACAAATAAAAATAAATAACTAACCTAGATACTCCAGCTGGTCCAGATGTTAACTCTAAAAACACGGATAAATATCTATCTCTCACAATACCATTGCCATTAGGGTATACTTTAAGTCTCCAACTGACACCATTGCAACCAATTGGAAGTGAATATATGGGTTCAGACTGAACCATTTTGTCAGAAAATGATTTAATTATTAAATTACCTCCTTCAAACTTTGGTATAACTTCACTAATAATTAAAAATAAATAAACATATTTATTTTATTTAAAATAAAATTATTTACCTATGAAAATCTGGATACACAGACATAAGGACTGGAGATTGCTTATTTTGCATTGCAGAAATAGTTCTTTTAAATCTTGGAGCATTATTAATTAATTGTGACATAGGCATACGAGATATTTCTAAATCACAATCATGCAAAAATTCCTCTATTTGCTCAGATTCATTAACTAGATGATTTTTTTGAGTTAATAAAGTAGTAAGTTTGTTATTGAGATCTTTTTCTAAATCAATCATCATACACTCCACAGCTGTGCGTATTTCTCGAACTTTTTGCTCTTTGGCTTGTTGTACTAGTTTAATATTTTTATCCTAAAAAATAAATAGAATAATTTGATTAATGAATGGTTTTGTTTCATAACCACATTATTATATCGATAGTTATATTATGATTGTAGTAGCTAATGTATTAGATTTATATTTCTATTTCTGATAATAGGTAAGCCATCAAATATTACTGAGCTACAGATTTTCCGGACAAAATAGAAACATTTCATGGAGTGAATATCCAAGGTTTAAATCAGTAGGAAAATTGAATTAATTTAATTTATTTACTATGAATTGGCTTTATAATTTTTGTGTAGATAAATGTATACAAAAAATTCCAACAATTATGATTCAACATTGTAATAGAAATAGAAATTATATAACATACATTTAAAAATAATACTTGAAATATTTTTTTAAGGTTAATTAATTAGAATATAGATATAAATAAAGACCTTAATTAAAAAAAAAAATCAGATATAGTTATCATAAACACCTAATAAACATTAAAAAAATTATTGTTTTTTAACAGTATTTAATATTTAAATTAAAATACATACAAGTTCCTTAATGTCTTTCTTAATCATTTCTTCTTTTGTTTTAAGGTTGTCACAACTCTCACCCAGTTGAGCTATTGTTTCATTATAAATGTCTTCAACAGGTCGGAATGAATGACCATTATGAGCTGAATTGTCAAATAGAGCACATCGATGACAAATAGTTAAATTGCATGGAATGCAGAATACAGACAATTGTTCGTTGTGAGTTTCACATCTAATATAAAATTAAATTAAATTAAAAATTTTAAATAATTTTTTATTAGTAATAGTAACTTTTTTGTTAGTTAGGTACCTTTGTTCTTGGCTCTGCCTTATACTTCCTACATTGACAGTACTATTCAAACAGTCAAGTTGTTCAGATAAATCTTCAACCCATCTACAGTTGACAATTTCATGTAAATGTAATGTAGCTCTACAATGTGGACATTGAGATCGTTGTTCGGTAAGCCATCGGCGCATACAAGAGTAACAACATAATTTTGAACAATGTGGACACAAATGTGCATCTTGTATTTTCTCCATGCAAATAAAACATTTGAATGTTTCTAGTAGAGTCTTGAAATTAAAAATTATTTTTTTGGTTAGATAATGAATTAATTTAAGCATTAATTTTATTATACATCAATTATGACGTGTGTAAAGGAATCCACAATCAATACTTTTTTCTTCAAATAGATTTAATTATTTAAATAAATATCTAAAGTCTATGTATACTGAACAATAGTGAATTCAATTAACAGTTTTACAGCCCTGTTAATTAAATTATTTTACAGTAAATTAATAAATGGGTAATTTTTATTTTCACTTTTGGTGCTTTTCCCAATTTCAAATAAATATTAGTATAAGTGGTTTTAAAATAAACATACTAATAAATAATTTTACTCGAATAGGCATAAAAGAAATAAATGGAAAAATAACACATTTTTTAATATTAACTTAGAAATTGAATAAGTATATACTACATACGGAGTAGTGTTTAGTAATTACCTATTTAAGCTTAAATTAAAAATACCATCTAGTAGGTCATAACCCGCTGTGAGATCTGTATGTGCACTGGACTATTGACCCACAAACGAAATAAATAAAAACATTAAGTTCTAAGTAAAAATTAAATTCTTTTTGGGTAAATATAGTTAAGTGAAATAATATGATAGATTAATATACCTGTAAATATTCCGGATTGGGTGCCACGGCCATTACGATTTTTAAGATTTTATTCAGTAGGTAGGTGTATTCAGAGTAAATATTCTATCGATAATTTAGTTCTACCTGTAACGTTTCTTAGCTACCACCGAGTATCGGAGACGGAACAATTTATTAATAATAATATCATAATAATAAATTATTATATTGATTAATTAAATAAACGATGATATCATTATAATAGTGTTTTATATTATTATAATATTGTGGCGTTTGGCCCGGACGCTGTCAACGTACGAATCGTAATTTTATTTTTAAATTATAGAATACCGGTTAAACGCATAGGAATGACCGACACGTAACTATCGCCCATCGGAACATTCTGAACGGGGGAATGCCATCTGAAACCTGAATATTGTGCATTTATATACATTATTATTATATACCTATCTACGTATCCACGATAGATACGAGTAAATACGACCCGTTATACGACGGTCGACGAGACAATAATCAATCGTCGTCATATGACTGATAAAAAAAATAATCCCCGGTATCAAAATTCACAGGCCTAGTCGCAGCGTCGAGGGTTCTCAAAATGCGTGCAACGCGTATTTCAAGTAGACCAACATTAATATTGCGCCAAACGATCGGCTATACTGTCTATTCTAAGACCACAGAAGTAGGTACATGTAGAGACCTACATAAACACTGTGTTATTACAATTACTTATTAGTTATTAGTTATTACCTAGGTATATAATATTATGAACGATATGAACTACTTATGAGGTTTGTTGTCTGACGTTTATGAATAAGAGACTTTTGTCTTTTGCGGCGGTTAGAGTTTAAATAAAATAGAATTGTATAAGTTGCAAAAGATAATTTTTTAAAGTATTTCAAAGGAACAACAATCGATACAGGTACAGACATTGTTTTTGAAAGCATTTGAATATATGTGACATCATAAAGGTAACCTACTTATGAATAATATTTGTAAATAAATTCAAGTATACCTATATATTATTATAATACTATGATAGGTATCTTATAAGTAATTTATGCAGATAATAATGTTAAAAAACAGCATTGTGAGTAACATCTTTTAATAGATTACAAGCCACAAGGATTAAAGTATTAATACTCGATTTTTATTTTTCATATTCTTTAAGCTAAAAATAAAGTTGTTTTTTAAATTAATATACGGGTATTAGTGATGATCAAAACAAGACCAAGACCAAGATTTTCAAAATATTGGTCTTGGTCTTGCAGACTCAGTATTGGTCTTGGTCTTGGGTATACACGTTAGTATTGGTCTTGATCTTGCGCAAGACTCTTGCTATTTTTACAAAATGTATAAAAAAAAATTAAATACCTGTGTGTGGGTTTTTTAGCAACGACCTTTAAGATGAAACTTAGGTCTAATATATAATAAAATATATTAATAATTCAAATATTAACATAAAACAAGTCAAAAATAGTAATTTTTATTACTAATTATTATTTATTAGTCATTAGTCATTACCTATAATGATTATAAAAAATTAATTGTTAATTGTTATATTTTTTTTAATGTTCGCTTTAACTGCAAATAATAACAATAAAAACAAATGTATGGTTTGCTCCAAATATTAAATTGCTTAATAATTATATTTGTCATAACTTATAACTTATAATGATGATATTTATTATTTAGAATTAAAATTGTATTCTTCTTTTATTCACTAGTACAGTATACTAAATGTTTATGTTTCTTTTAATATATATTTGTAATTAATATTTCATTTTTTTTTCGGAATAACGTGCATGAAACTATTTATAGGTATGCTATAAGATAAACAAAAAAGATTATGTTTAAAATTAAAAGAACGTGCTACGTGCAATCCATATAATAAAAATATATAACAATATATAGAAAATTTAATAAGTTATTTGTTTTTATTTGATGCTGTAAAATTTATGAAATTTATGAATTGCTACATAGCACGTTATTCCCGCCAACCCTTATTCAATTATAAAAGTGACACTCACGCAAACACTTTATAATTATAAGGGGTTAATAAAGTTCAAAGAAAATTAAATAAAAATGTTATGTTACTGCCTTCTTTTGAGCCATTAGAAACTGAGCCGATTTCTAGGAAGTTTCGAAGTCAAGGGGTTTGTAATTTATAAAATTAATTTATAAGCAGATTATGGTAGTTTTCTAGTTTTAAAAAAAACCATTTAAAAATATAGTACTTATTTCTCAGTATTGATTTAATGCTTAAGTTTTTGTGAAGGGTCCAGTTAGATATATCGTTAATCGTTTAGTGATTTTGCGAGGTGTGATGTTTTTGAATACTTGAATTTTATTTAAACCCCGTACCATTGTTCTTATATTCAATAAGATTATAAGATCTATATATTGTTAGAAAATAATTAGTAGGAACATAAAATTTCGGAAAACATTATTTTTAAATAATTTTAATCATATGAAACTGTATTAATTTAAAAATATATTTTTTTCGAAAATATATGTCTGTTTGAGAATTAAACCATTGACGAGTATTATTTTATTTGAAACGTATCTATTTATCGGAATATATTGATAAAAGTATATACATAGGATTCTATATTAATATAATGATAAAAGTTTACAACTTAATACCAATTAAATGGTATGATTTATTTAGTGACAGTTTTATATCTAATTATGTGGGGCTTCTTTGTATTTAATCATATGCATTGATCGATACCTATAACTAGCCCACATTCGATAATTGCTGTTATTTTTGTTTATTGCTCAATTTAATTTTCTCCATATATATATATATATATATCTATCTACTATTATAAAAATTGCTTTTGTGTTACCTACACTTAGCAGATCCAGCAGGCTAATAAATATAGTAAAAAAAAACTAATCTCCGTAGTTGTTCAAAATTTATAAATTTTTATAAATTTACTATCATAACATGGTATTAACAGTGCCGGATTTAGAACAGATGTCGCCCTAGGCCCTTTAAAATATGCTACTCCTACCCCAAGAAAAAAAAATTTATTTATTCCTCAAATTCATGAATTGATTTCTATGTTTTTTAAATATATAAATATATATATTAAATATTATATAATATTTTTACGCAGTTACATAAATGCATAAAGTGTTTATATGATTTTTTTTCCATTTAAAATTTGCCACCCTAAGCCCAGGTAAGGCTTCATGGGCCTAGGCGTAAATTCGGCCTGGGGTATTAAATAGGTACGATAAATTTATAACTATAAAAAAGAGTTCACATGCATATTCTGTTTTTTATTGGTATATTTAGCATATAGTCTATATAATATGTAGTTTGTTACCATATAAGTTATAAGTTATAATTCGCAAATTTTCTATCGATCAATTTCGGTTAGATACCTACTAAATTATTGTGAAATTTGAATAAATTAAAAAATACCAAAGTACCGCATATAAATATCAGAAATTAGCTGATTCTGAAAGGCGACAATGAATTAATTCTTTAATTTTTTTCTTTTCTTGAACTCCGTTAAAAATAAGCTGCACAGATTATTAACAAAGTTAATAATTATCTTAACGGAATCATAATAACTATTTATTTCTGTAATCAATGACAACAATATAATTATACATAAAAAAATAATAGTTTTTCGTGAGTCAACTACGAGTATATTCAACATTTATACACTAAAAATTAAGAAAAATTTATAAAGTATAGCAAATTACACTATAGATCTTACTGAGCCTATATTGACGAAAACCGTATGATAATCAATCGAAAACTGAGAATTTTCTTAAGGATCGTCCCAAAATTCGTTTTAAATTTTAAATTTTATATAAAGTAGTTATATTTTTTAATTTATTACAGCTAATCTTGTGCAGCGTTGGATACTTGATCATGATAAATTAAAATAATGTTAATGGATTTACTCTTTATAAAACTTCGTTAATTTCCTTGATAAATTATAACACATATAGGCTAATACATAAATATTCGAATACATAGTACCAGTACCTAATCTTTTGAATTTTTCTGTCATTTTATTAGCGTAATAATAAATAATATAGAAAAAAATAACTATCAACTTCCAGAAATGTCATTTTGCGCAGCTGTTCTGGTATCAAGTCATAAAAAAGTCGAAGGGAATGCTTTTTATGTAGTTTCGAAAGTAAGGGAAATCCTTAGTTTTTTTCACCATTTAAATCTGTCACCCTTACTTGTATCGATAAATAAAAAAAAAGAAAGTATTAATTTTTAAATGTCACGTCATATTATATAATATATTATTATACGACTAAATAATTTCGTTGTTTTTATAACATAAACTGTTGGATGACACGTGATACTATAACAATTGGGTCACGTTTATATATAAAGGTATCTACTATGTCATAGCCCATAGGTGTAGGTTAGGAATAGTAGGATAACGGATCAATGAAGTTATTCGTTTAGTTGAGACTTTTATATATAGACAATTGACATGCGACCATAACGACCGATATACACGTTGTTTGACTACTTTAAATCCGAATTCTGTAACTATATTATAGGTTATAAGGGTTATGTGACTCGTGAAATGTTAAGCTGTCACGATTCACGAAAAACAACGAACGTATTATTATTTATAACAAATCCTTAGTGAAGTTAAAGTATATATTTCAAGAAATTTACTATGATATAGGTTTATATTTATATAATAATAATACAAAACAATTGTGAATAAAGTGTGATGGATATTAGTGATATTACATTTTTCTTTTACAAATACTTATTTAATGTCTCGATTTTATATGCGAGTAACAGAATATTTACAACAATTCAAGCTTGTTCGTTAATTTTAACAGTAAAAAAAATTTAGCTATATCAATTGTATATAGGTGCTTGTGTTCTGTTGGAAATTTTTTCTGATAATATAATTTTAAAGTGGGGCTTATGAGTACTTTAAAATTATAAAATTTTACCTGCTTATAACTCTACAGAACGTCACACACCATTATATTATTTACTATTAATTTTGTTACCAAAGTTATTGTTTCGTGTGGAATATAAATAATAATCCAATCAGTAAATTATTATTGATGGCATTGGTATGACAACAGATATGTGATAAATAGCGAATTTTACCTGTATACCTGTAATAGTAGATTTTATGTTAAGTTTCGTAAAGTAATTAATTATTTTTCATTATCTACTATATATTAGCCACTAGGAAGGTATTATTTATTTATATTTTATCTTATTTATAAGACGATAAGAAATGTATATTTTATTGAAATTTATGTACAGCAACGGCATCTATTGGACAAACAAAATTTGTATTAAACGTATTACGTGCAGTTGTATTCCACTAGAGTCCTCTAAAAGTATTCAACACATAAAATGCATTATTTTCGGTTTTTTGTTTTGTTTAATAATTCGAAAAGGCAAAATTAAGGTATATAATTAAGGGGGGACGTTACAACTGCTAAGATGACGTAACTTTTAAAGCACCCCTTAATAAATCACACAATCATAGGT